AGAGAGAGAGAGAGAGAGAGAGAGAGAGAGAGAGAGAATGAGCAAGAGGGGACAATGGGCTGGGTGTGTGTGTGTGTGTGTGTGTGTGTGTGTGTGTGTTACAGGAGGGTCCCTTAGGACAAGTCTTTCAAAATGTTCATGTTCTAACTGAATTGCAACACTTGGAGGAAATGCTTATAAGGCAGCCACACTCAGGTGCTCAGTGTTTTCCACGAACACTTAACATATCCATTTACAAAACAAATTACCAGCCCTCTGAAATAATATAAAATGATGTATACGTCATTTTAAAAAACATGATCATTCATTAACAGTGTTGACTAATGTCAGCTCTATTTAATAGTCATGGCAATTGCACTCCAGGCACTACTACAGTTTGTCCTTGTGATTAATGTGCCAACATTAGATTTTTGAAAAGCTTGCCTTAATTTTGTTGGTCAGGGAATATCTCTTATTGAAGAACAGATGTAAACATCAGTATGGCAAGACTAAAAGCATGGACTTATATAGATGTTTTTCCTGTGAAAAAAAGATTTCAAGAGAGAACAGTGCTTGCTGTTATTAAAAGCAAATGCAAGTCTGAAAGTTAGGGTAATTCAAGCATGTTAACTAGAATAAAGACAAGAAACCTTCTAAAAAGGCAATGGAATGGGCCCGTTTGATAAAGTGACTGTTTTGTGCTGCCTGAACTTGGTGAAGCATTGGTGTAATTGAAACACAACCACAACCCCAAAACAACCCATGGGTTTCCAGTGGTTTGTTAACACCCAGCAGCAATTCATCCTCACCAGGTACTGATAACATGGCACACCCTAGTAGTAGCTTGAAGTCACCCACTATGCACTGCAACCTAGTGTTGTGTAAATAAGTCAAGATAGTCTCTAGTGATCCTGCAAACTTGCTCATTCTCCAGTGCATGAAAATTAGGAGAATTACAATTCTAGCTGACTTATTTTTCAGGATAGAAGTTGTGGTTAGAATGTTTTCCTTTAGGGCTCAGGAAGCTGAGGTCCTGAGTGTTCCATACATAGTGGTACTCTTTCCTCCTTCCTTCCTAGCATTATATGTCATTTATTTCCACAGAAAATAGATACTGTGCTTATAATTTATATCCTCTGCTGTACCTTTTTCACAGATATCACCACTAGACACTTCTGAAATAATGCTGTTGTTAACTGAGTGTGTGCAAGCTAGTATTCTAGATATTATGTGCTTAACTGAGCATTGGAATATTGGATGTTGTTTTCCTGCATGTCTTATCTTTCTTATTTTCGGTGTTTTCCTAGGCAAAGGAATGTTGATCTTCAGTGCTCTAGGCTCTGCCGGTTTAAGAGGGTTCCCTCTGCCATTACTTCTTTGTATATTTCTTCTATATATTAAATATTCAAGGAGATAGACAGACAGATGACAGAGTCAAGATTTTGCTACAAGGATGCCTCTTAGGATTTAGTAGCAGTACCTTTAGCTTAGAGTGTTGCAGCGCTTACCCGGTTTAGAATAGAACCTAAAACTAAGGTTTGTGTTATCTAATGGAGTAGTTTCTGTATGGATCAGCAAGAATATTAGTATGACTAGTTCCTACAATTGCTTCCCAAAGACAACATTTAAAATTAATGAACTATTATATTATGCTAAGTAACTGACTTTCACAATGGCTATTGAATAGCAGTGACTCCTGTCAGAGTGATTTTTTATGTGTTCTCTGCTCTGGATCTTGGCAGACAACTGTATCTATAACAAAAATGTGGAAGAAGACAAGGAAATCAAATAAAGCAACTTTAGAGTTAGTAGACATTTGCCCCCATTTTCTCTCATTGAGTCTGTCTGAAGTAGGTGTTTTAACATACAGCCATCTCTTGTTAACCTGTGTGTTTATTTTAGCATGATGGTGTTGTGTTGTCATCTCCCACGCTGACACAGCATGTTATTTCATCTATTTTTGCTTTATTACTGTATGAAGCATTTAAAATGACTTAGTGAAGAGAAGGATTCTTGTCACTTACCGATTCACTCTCTGATCTGTGGAAACTTGATCAATTGATCAGCCTTTTTCATTTAAAATTCTGTCTGTTGCTGCTGGAGCACTAACAAGAAAAAGAGAGAGTGATCTAATGTCAAGAATTTCAAAGTATACTACTGTACCTTTGTTGGTCTGTGCTAAGCATGTTTTAATTTATACATTTTCTACATGTGTGTATTTACAAATTGAATCATTGTTATGCAGCTTCTCTATGTTTGCATGATATGATTTTATTTTATATTTTTTTCCACTCACCAGATGTTTCCAACATTTTGCTTCCCATCACTGTCATCCCCTCCCTTACCACTGCAACAGTCACAACCACTGTAGCCTTAACAAGCACAGTCCCATCGGCAACAGCTATCGACACTGGAGGTACAGTATGTTTCTTTGTTATGGCCTGCAAATCACAATATAAATAGGCAACCTCAGGTATTAAAGCACTAAGTATGAGCAAAATGCTAAAGGGAGAAAAAATATGAATACTGCAAATTTAAATTCAGACATATATTAAATCAGTTTAATTTGCCATCAATTAACATAGCTGTGAATGATTTAACAACACATTGTGCTTTTTTGCCTAATGACAGTTATAATGCTGGTGGGTGTTTTAACTGCTTTTATTAGTAATTGCTTCAAGTTTATCATATTAAACTTGTATTAGATGCAAACCTACTTAATTTTAAATTAACATGATCTCTTAAGAGGATAGTTTTGTTTTCTGTTGTTAATATGCTGTGAATGTGCATAAAACTTGGATTTAACCACATGTTTATTTAGAATTGTTTTATTAATGTTGATAGTGTAATTTTGCAATAATTTTGTAGTTTTCTGGAACTAAATGATAGACCTTTTAGACAATAGTTTTATTGCCCAAGAAATCTACAATTGTTTGCCAGTGGAGAGCTGAGATTATATTTTGAAAAGTAATGTTTCTTTTATTGGATAATTTATGTTACCTAATGAGAATAACACTATTGGAAAAAGGTACCTGTCTTCCCAGCTACCACACATATTTGACATCTAATTGTACTGTGTTATAGTTGTACAAGTGAAATGAATGGAAGAAGCAATACATTCCCGTAACCAACCAGCACGTCATTAATACTTCATAGTTCATATATCATGATGTATCCTGATAAGCCAATATAACCACTGAACTATGTAACCTCAATTAAAAATACTTTTGTTACAGGGAAGAGTATAACACATACGCACACACACAAGCATATGTATGTCTCAGTTACTGGTTTCCCTGCTTTTATATCCCACCTGTTCTCAGGGCAACATACATTTACTGCTTCGATATACTGTCCTCGGGTATCAAAGCTCTCAGAACTGTTTGCAACAAAACAAATAACAATATAACAGTATAACCCTTTTAAATACATATAGTTATGCAATAAATAAACACAACAATAACAATAAAATAGAATCAATAAAAATAAAATCCAAACATAGAGGCCCTTGCCTGCCCACATCTTATACCTGCTCTTATACCACATCATCCTCAATAAATAATGTTTCTACTATCATCAAACTAAATAAACAAATCACAGATGTTAAAATAAATAAAATTCAATAAATAATTAACAGAAATGTGACTTTGATTAAAAAATTAAAATTGGCTGTCCTTAAAATAGTGTGATAGATTTAATACTGCCACTTTACTTTGATTGCCTTGAACAGAAATACAAACCCTAGGCTAGAACTTTCCAGAGAAAAAGACTAGTGGTCTGGGGGTAAAGCAGTTTACTTTCATTAGCTTAATAGGAAATGTCCTTTCTTATTTATAAAGAGTAAATTTGAAAACTGAAGAATTTACTTGGGTATTTAAAAAACATAAAATAGAATATCAGCTCATTGAATGATTTTCTTGGTTACAAATCACATGGCATCTCTTGAAGGCAGTGTCTGAATCTGAGTCCCTGTGATGTCTTGCTGGTAGAGGACCTCAGTTTGAGCACTGTAATAACAATGTCATAGATGGCCTTTGGGTCATATACTACATTATGTTCCAAAACATATTTCCAGTGTATTTTCCAGTGTTAGAAAATCAACTTTGAACTGATGTATCTGATACATCTGATATATCAGATACAAATATCTGACCTGGTGAAGGGCTGGTAAAGAGAAGACCATCATGGTAGAGAAAGTTGCAGGCAGAAGATGAAAGGGAAGACCAAATATGAGATGGATTGAATCTATAAAGTAAGGCACAGTCTTGAACTTGGAAGAGCTCAAGTTGAATGGAGCTGTCATAGACAGGACATAGACAGGGTCACCCTAAGTACAGATGACTTGATAACAACAAAGGACTGATTGGAAATGGACTTTGTTGTCCATCTTTTGTCTTTTTACAATATGGTCCTTCCCATGCTGGAAATAGCTATACTCATTCAAAGTGCTGTACTGTTGGATGATAATTTTGTTCAGTTTGATAACATTTATCAAAATGTTCATGTTTTCATAAATGAAACAGGAACATTTTTAATTTAAACACAGTGAATATGGCAGAAAGAGAAGCTAACATTTTTCCATCCCTACTCTCAACTGTGTGTGTGTAGGGGGGAGATGCTGGCAGGATTTGGGAGAAAGTTTCTGCCCATCGCTTTCTACAGGCAGCTAATCTGGATCTACTGTATTGTGTGCAGACCATTGGTTGGGTTTGAGTTTGAAATGAATAGGTTTTTAATCAGGATATTTAAAAAGACTAAAAGAAAATGATCACATTTAGAATGCGTAGATGAAGAGTAACACATTCAATTAAAATAGTTTTATTTTAAATACACACACCCGTTTTTAACCACCATGAAACTGCCATTCAGCTTTAGTGCTGTATCTCATCTTCAGGGAGATACCTCAGCTACTGTCAACAACAAAGAGGCACTCTGGCCTCTGCAAGAACTCCTTCTGTTACTACACTAGAGGATGTGTTGCTGTGGTGCCAGAATAAAGCACACTGCTCTCATTTCAGTATCCTTTTTTTTTTTTTTTTTTGGAGGGGGGTAGCTCTGCCTACAGCAACAATTTCCAGGAGGTAGTAGGGACAGATGTTAAATTTCCTTTCCTAAGACAGCCAGTACTATTCAAAATAAACTGAATGCTGCAGAGATGAGTGCTGCACTTTTCGCTTATTAGTGTCTGTCCTCATGTCCTCTCAATGAAAGGAGGAGATTAGCTTTGTTATGGAAAATAGCAAGCGAATTAGATGCCAAAAAGTTAGAAGACATTGCACAATGGAGACTTTGGTGCATTATGATACAAGAATGTAAATGTAGATAGTTTAAAAATATGCTGGTAGAGTTTACTCAGCAGGCTAAAACTAAATTGTACATGTGTAGACTGGAGAGTTATATGTAGCTATGCTTCAGGCTTTTGGAAACTACTTTACTCTCACAATAGGAGGAACCCAGAGAAAATAAAGCGCTGGATTTTAGTAGTAGCATCAAATTGTGTTTTTTCTAGTGAACTACATCATGATCTGGCCAACAGGGCCACTTCTGAGACATCTGAATGTGCAGGCATCACAGTTTGCCTCTATCATGCCATCCTATGGGTCTTTCCACTTCAAGAGAAAAAGTGTCACCTGAAGATCTCCAGCAGGGGGCCCAACCATGGTGCTAAGGTCATAGAAACTTATATTAATTCAGATCATTTGTCCATGCAATGTATGACTAGCAATAGTTCACCAAGTTTCAAGCATGAGTCTTTGGAGTTCTTCTTGGAGATACTGGTACTGTAGGTACAAACTGCAGGTGCCATAAAAATGCAAATAGCACCAATTGAGTGCTCAGGGGATCATAGCTTTGACCCTTTTGACTACTCCATAACCACTATCAATGCCAAGTCTTTCAGGACCTCCTCCTAATTGGAAAGGCAATAGAACTGCTTTGTTGATAATTTAAACTCACTGACCAATTCATTTGCGAAACTCATGATTTTGAGAAATTGTAAAGTAGCATGACAGTCTATACCTAACACTGAAGTTAGGTAATGCCACACCATAGACTATATAGTTCTCTTTTTCAGAGAACTGGAAATGACCATTGTATGAAACATCTATCTCCTACCCTTCCTTTTGAAAGGGGAATTTTCGGATTATACTAGCATTTTTACTGCTACATTTCTGAGCTGGTGTGGAATTTACACACACTGCTGTTCTTTTTGTAGCACAGCATTTTCTTCAAATTTTTAAAAAATGAATTTAGCCTAGTTTGAATATTTCTATAAAAATGTCATAGAACTCATAGCATAGAATTGTAGGGTTGGAAGAGAAGCCCTTTCTCACTCCAAAAGGAAGTGAATAATTGCCCCCTTGCTTCTGGTGAAATGCAAATTCTTAACCTCTTCCTCCATTGATGAACAAATACTCCCTATAGCTTTATTTTCAAGTAAGGCCTCTTGTTATACGTTGTTGTTGTTAGTTGCGAAGTCGCGTCCAAACCATCGCAACCCCATGGTCAACATTCCTTCAGGCCTTCCTGTCCTCCATCATCCCCCAGAGTTCACTTAAACTCACACTGACTGCCTCAGTGACTCCATCTAGCCACCTCATTCTCTGCCATGGTATACATTAAGTCATCACTTAGCATTAATCTCAATCCCTGTATTTCAAGAACCATTAAATGTGTCTTTCTAGCATTCCATATGCAGTCACAAAAGGCCCCATTTCAATATGGATATTTTACAAAATACGTAGATAGAAGTCACAACTATTAACTCATTTCACACTGAAGTGATTCCTTATGATGCTGGAGCCTATGCTATAGCTTAGATATTCCACATGGAAGTAAAATTTACAGTTCACTCTAAAGATTTGCAACGTAGGCATGCTTTCATTTGCATAAGGTTTAGGACGCAACATTGAAAAGTTACTAAATCTGCTTGGATCATTAACACTGGTATTTCATGAACAATTCCCTTATTCTAGTTTTTTCTGCACTTGGTCAGGCACACATTTTCTCTTATGTTCAGTCCCATAAGTATGAAGCAATATCCTTTTCTGTTTCTATATTACCATTAACTTCAAACCTTAAGTGCAACAGTGTAAGGAAGGAGCAGACCTTTAATGTTTTGTGCAATGTAACTGGAAAAAAACTAACAACCATATCAGCAAAAGCATTGAAACCACGAAGTGTCAACTAAAGAAAACCAAAGAATCAAAGACAGGAAAATGCTTGATGCATCAGTAGGATTTGTGTGGGAGACTGATTTGCTTTCATTTTACAAGCTGATTTGGGTTACATTAATGGACGTTTATATTAATGGAATGCTACAGAGGGGCATTTTCAATTTTCCAATGCCTTCAACTAAAAGACCTTAAAATGTATAGCATTCGTAAAATTACTTACTGTTAGCAGAACAAATAGTTC